CCCCTGGGAATGCTCTCTGTCACTCTGTCCATCTCATTCCAGAACTTTTCCTTTTCTTCTAACTCACAGCCCACCTGTGGGGCATACCCACTGACTACATTCATCATCACACCTTCTATCTCTACCTTCACGCACATCAACCTGTCTGACTCTCGTTTTACTTCTACTACATGTCTAGCATATTTTTCCTTTATAATCACCCCTACTCCATTCCTCTTCCCATCTACACCATGGTAGAACAGCTTGTAGCCTCCCCCAATGTTTCTAGCCTTGCTGCCACTCCACCTTGTCTCCTGAACACACAGAATATCTACTCTCCTCCTCTCCATCATGTCAGCTAGTTCTCTGCCTTTCCCTGTCATTGTACCTACATTCAGAGTTCCTAACCTCAGACCAATACTTCTAACCTTCCTCCTTTCCCTCTTTCTCTGTACCAATCGTCCTCCTCTTCTTTGTCTTCTTCTTTGACCAACAGTAGTCCAATTTCCAGCAGTACCCTGTAGGTGAACAGCACTGTTGGCAGTCGTTTTTATCCTGGGCCCCGACCGATCCAGTATGGAAATCGTTTTATCAACTCGCATGTTCGTTTTGGCAAAAATTTTACGCCGGATGCCATTCCTGATGCAACCCTCCCCATTTTTCCGGGCTTGGGACCGGCACTGGGGAACAGTGTACCCCCAGGGGAGGGCACTGCTCCCTAGTGGCTGGGTTAAATATGAAATACCTCAATTTACATATATATTTCAAACAATTTGTTAGCAAAATGGATATGTTTATTTCATATATTTGTTTTTAAATTAAAAAAAAATATGGCCCTTGAGCACAAAATGTTTACGCAGCCCTGATCTTTGTAGTGTCGTCAGATGTTGCCTTCGAGCACAATTTAAATTATTTTTCCGTCACAAAACACCTCACTGACTATTCCAAACGTGTTTATATGTCAAAGTCCAATGTATATATTACGTTCACATGAACACACCAGTGAATACATTTTGTATGATCCAATGAATTTGCTTTCCCCACCGAATCCATGACTGGGGTCTTTTGAGCTTCCGTGATGCGCCTGAAGCGACCGGGAAGTGCGTCGGTGTCTCGCTAAATTATTCGCTCTCGGCAAGTCACATGTTCGCCTCGCAACAGCCGGAAAGGAAGAGGGGGCGCGGCTGGAGACGCGTTCTCTCTCCGTGGTGCTGATGGGGCGATGCCTTCTGCGCAGCCGTTACTGCGCATGTTGCATGACAGGTGCTCGCGCGCGAACCATCCAGCGAGCCTCCATCTTGGGCTTCCTTGAGCAGCAGAAATCTATCCACCCCCACAAAACAACAACAACAACAACAACAGCGGCAACGGAGCCATCATGCCGCTTGGGCTTGATGATGTGACTCTCCTTTAGAGACGACAGCTCGCCGAAGAAGGACGCGTTAAAGTCCCCCCAGGGGAAGGAGGATGGAAAGGAGCGGCAACGGCTGGTCGGGAAGGCGCCGTTAACGACGATTAGTCCCAGCTAGCTTTGACCGGTCGGTCCGGAGGGGAGTTTTTCGACAAACGTCTGACAGGTGACGGATAAGAAGGAACGTTGTGACGTAATGCTCGTAATGTTTACGTTCGGGACGTGTGCGTGTGTTGGCCGCCATTTTAGGGAGGGAGGAGGGGGTGGTGTCCCTGTATACATGGTTGCGTGTGCTGGCATCTTCCACTTCACTGCCATCCCTCCCCAACATGGTGGTCGCTTTTTTTTCCTCTTCAATGCAGCACTTTTAATGGTGGTTTGTAGTTGGTTTATATGTAACCAAGCTGGTCCTTACATTAGGTACACCTGCAAAAGCTAATTCAAGAGCTGTGTGGCCTTACTGGAATGACACTTGAGAGTTGACCTCCACCAAGGTTCAAAATTGTACATCTTATACTTGGGCGCCTCCAGTACGTGTCAGTTTTGGCACTGAGAGCTGGGCCTAATATTATGGCAAGACTGCATCACTGAGACCAGTTCAACATGCATATTGCTGTATTAAATGTAGATTTTATTTGGCAGTACTGTACTTGCACACAGTTCTTGACTGCTACCCATGTTATTAATATTGTCTGTATCAATATTTTCAACTGCAAATACACTACAAACAGTGCTCTGAACCTCTTGTATGTCAATGTGAAGGTAGCGCTTGTATCGCAGGGAGTGCAAAAGTAGATCTACAGTAAAAGCGAAAACAAGTACAATTATTTTACAAAATAAAAACATTCATCTCATAATGTCACAAATTTCATTTATGTGACACGACTGCATGCCTACTTTTTTCCACCCCTTATATTTTTATTGAATTTATTTTAAAATAACTTATTGACATTTTTGATGGGGAAACATTTATTATTTTGTTCTTTATAAAAATGATCATGTCTTATGTTGGATCTTATGTATATAGCACTTTGCCACAGCTTCACTTGTTAAAGTGCCACATAAATGAAGTTGAGTTGAGTAAGTAAGTGATTAGTCGTGCCATCTGGAAAGGTCGAAAAAAAATAAATGGCCGCCAACTACGTTCTATAATACAGTATGAACATTTATAGATGTAAAAACATGAACATGTAATCCAGCACAAACACATCAATTACAAAATGTGTATACAGCATGAAGAAAACATTTAGTCAGCAAATGAAAAGTGTCTTCTATGGTTTAGGATGTGCCGCGCCCTGAAGCCGTTTATAATCATCTTCGGGCCTCGAACTCTGCCATGATTTTGTTGCCATTACGGATGATTGTCGAAATCGTTGACCAGTTCGTAGTCTCGTCTGAGCTTCGTCTGGGAGACTCCCTTTCGAAAGTGAGAGACGATATCAGCCTTCACAGACAACGAGATTTGCTTCCGTTTACCAGACATGTTTTCAGCCCATGTGCTCAGGACCACACCTTGCCTCTGGAAGTACAACAATGTCCTGCACTGTACATTTTGTTCCTACGCAAGGTCACGGCGGCAGTTTGCTTCCCACGGTTTATTGTAACAAAGTAATTTTCACTATTTTGTGGAAAAAATCTGGTCGTTATCATGAAGTTTCTGTTAGAAAGCTGTTTGTTGTAAGTGAAATCGGCAAATGGAAAATGAATGACCTGAAATTTGGACTTTGAAATGTCAACGTTATAGGGGTGAAAACGCTGTACATTGAAAAGAGGTTTGACTGTACCTGTCGTAACAGCATGCACAAAGCATCCCCAAATTCAACAGAAGTCTGCCATTTTGGGTGAATTGAAGGGATCGTACTTTGGCAAATTCCTCTGAGCAAATTTGTCCAAATGATTTCCTGTCAGAGGCACCGCTAAGATAAGAGGGCAAGCACTCATTCATTATTAATGTTTTCAGTAGCTCTATTCCCATGTGGCCAGTGGTGTAGTGGGGATTTTTTAAGTGGGTGTACGCGATTCTGGGATGTTCTATATATACATACAGAACATCAATCATAGGCTACAACACAAGTTGAGCTAACGTTAAATTTAATGGTTTACTACTCCAAAATAATCACAGGCCAACGTTATTAAGCATAACTCGCATTAGGGCTAAAACCGAAATAAAAATTGAATGTGGCGTCGGGAGAAGTGGGTGGACGGCGTACCCCTGCGTACCACGCCCACTACACCCCTGCATGTGGCATCATAGTGGTGATATGGTATTGACCTTGAAGTCTTAATACAGCACGTGCATGTCTGTCTGACTCTGCCACTCCGTGTGACACAGCTCTGTGGACACTGACGTGATCAAACAGAACGAGGGCGATCTTGTTCATTGGTCCGCCAGAGGCAAAGTCACTCGTGAAAGATTTCTGGTTGGCTCGAAGGCTTGAAGGCTTGTAGAACAACGTTTTAATGATTTGTCAACAGCATTTTTTTTTTCTCTGAAGTACACTCTATTATCAGCATTGACTGACGTTAAACCACAAAACTGTCATTGTTTCTTAAGTGCAAACGTGAATGGAATACTGCCTGTTAGTCAGGCACTGTTGAGTGTTGTGGACTATCTAGTCAATATTGGAGCTGCTGCGTTTTTTTCTTAATTTAATTTTGGAGGGGAATCATATGTCTCTTAATGCTATGGACAGGGTTTTTTTTTTAGATTTGCTGAGGTCTCACATAACGCTAGTAACGGCGGGAGCTTTGTATGAGTTTTGAGTGGGGACACACCAATACCACATTTTTTTGGGAGACAGATTACAACCACAAGTATTTACATTAGAGTACTTGAAATTGCATTTTTTTTCAATTAAGGCACTAAATTTCAACCTAATGTTGTTCAGTGTAGCTTGAATGTGGCACAAGTTTCATGCATCGGAAATCAGAATCTGTTCTCGGATGCATTACCTGGAGAAATAAAAGTTAAATTACAAACACCACCTGTCATTACTGACATTTTAATATTAAACTGCAACTTAAACGTACCCTGTAACACAAGGTACTTCAGTTATGAGATTTCTCAGCGCACGAGAGGGCACTATGTGAAAGGGGTACATATATACAGTACCAAAAAGGAATATGGGCTGGAGAAGAACATAGACATGTAGAAATATCGATGACATGCTACCTCATTTTGTTAACTGCAAAATAAATAAGTAAAAAGAAATACAGGACCGCTTCTATATAACAGATGATTAAGTGGTATCGGTTTGTATTGGCACATATACGCATACAGCAAAACTACCTGATGGGCCAAGGTAGATATTTTTATAATTTGGTACTGATTACCAATATTTTATGTCAACGGAGGTCAGTGGAAAGACTCCTGCCCTAATTAATGAAACCAAATTGACCTTGCCAAGGCAAGGTGCAGTGAAAAGTTGACGTACTGGGCAATGGCAACGACTTCCACTTATGAATATGATGAAGGACGAGCAACAAGGAGCGGGTTAGGAGGGCTAGGCCAAGAGAGTCCGTCTAGACAATAAACCGTGCTACTTAAGAGAGGGATGCAAGTTTGCCTGCGGCATCCCTATACTGTCCAATGGCGACTCTATCACGCGGTTGATTCATGACTTCTATTGCTGCATACACGTACTGCCTCTAAATAGACATGCTGTGTTTGTATTCTCTCGCATAGGGGCCAAGGGTTGGCTGAACGGTAAACACACAGGATCAAATTGTATTCATGATGACGGTGTGTACCATGGAAATCCAACACTTGACTGCACCTCGAAATGGACGCTAATTTGCAGCGCCATTTGGAGGCCACATTGCTCCGACGAGGACTGAATCATGAACCAGTCGCACTACTCAAATTGATTGCGTTTACGCCCGGAAAGTGTCATTTTAGTTTGTTTATATTTGTGGATGATTGCTAGGCCTAAAAAGAGATGCTTCTACCAAAAGGAACAGTTTAGAAGTCCTCGTTTCCATCAAATCCAATGGTTTGGTTCACTTTAGTATTAGTTGTGGTAGTCACAGAAGTTGTCGTAAACGTAGTACCGTACTTTCCACATGAAGTAAGAATAATTATATTGTGTTGTTTTTCCATGTTTAAAGATGTTTCGCAATAGCTCGCAATAGCTTTGTGCCGCAATGGCTCGCAATAGCTTTGTAGTCTTTGTATAAACAGCAATGTCATAGGATGTTTATGATGATGAGCAATGTCATTTGTTAAGAACAAAGATAGCGTGACGTCAGGCACGCTTAGACTATAAAAGGAGAGCTTCGGATACTCTTAGTAGAGCCGAGAATTAGGAGAGTCGAGAATCAGCAGAGTCCAGAGTCAGCGGAGTCAAAAGTCCAGAGTGGTATTGAAGCTCGCTCTACCTGGGGTGTTGGCTCTCCATCCTATTGACGCACGGTAAGAGCTAGGTACTATTCTAAGAGCTTGATACACTGATATTTGCTTGTTTGACATATTCTGTGGCGCTAATAAACGTGTAATTTGTTAGTAGCAGATTTGTCTCTTGTGTTTCATTTCTGAGTGCCTATCTCCAACGAACCTATTCTAAATTTGATACTGAGCCAGGGCGAGGTATCAGAAATGTTTTAAAACACCACACTAAAAGGCGCACTGGATTATGAGGTGCACCTTCAATGAATGGTCTATTTTGTTATTTTTTTCATATATTGGACGCACCGCACTATAAGACACAATCTACAATGCATCCACTAGATGGAGGTGCGCTCCAAGAAATGTTCTGTAGCAACGCCACTCGAGTGAAGCTCGCCTCAGCAGTCCATAGTCCGCTGCTCTGTGCTGTGCGCGCGTGAGCGCGAGCACGTACACACGTGGTTCAACCAATCAGCGCCGACGCAACCCATGTCACAGATCAAAGAAGCTTTAAACAAACGACAACTAAGCTTAGCTGTTGAGTGGCGTTGCTACAAAACGATCAGATGTCAGTAAAACTTTTTTTAATAAAGCACCGACACAGTTCACTTAACCAACAGCAAGTTATAACATTGACTCATTAACATTGAGCTCTCTTGCCGCTGCTCTATTTCCATGTTCAACTGCGTAACCCGATCACTTTAAGTTTGAACTCTGCATTGTAAGCATGTCTCAACTAAGGAGCCATTTTGGGGTTGACATATTACCGTCAAAACCATACATAAGACACATCGGATTTTAAGGCGCGCTGTAAACTTTTTAAGAAAATGGAAGGCTAAAAGCCATAGTTGTCGTATTAGTGGCGTTTTCAGTTCATCATGGTACAGGTCATACAAATATCCCAATGACATCACTTCAATCCATATGGTTATTATTGGACTAATATCCGCCGAGCAGTACAGTTCAATTTAAAAAAAAAAAACAACTACTATATCCCTTTGAGCAGCCATTTTGGGGATCATGTGTGATTTGCCCTCCATCTTGGCAGCTCAACCTAGTTAAAACTGGAGCATACTCACAATTGTTTTAAAGTGTCCTAATTCGTATTTCTGTACCCGGACAGGCTCCATTTGACACGCATGATGGGTGTCAAGAAGAAGCTGGTGTTCTTCCTCCTGGTCCTGTGCGTTTGCCTCCAAGGAGCATCTGCCAAAGAGAAGGGAACAAAGAAGGGCAAGAAGAAAGGGAAGCAGGTTTACTGCCCGTCGTAAGTCGAGCAAACAAACACAACAAATACAACACTTTACTGTGCGTTGGTTACTTTTCTTTGGATTTATAGATTCAAATACATAGTGGTCAGGGGAGTATTTACTTAACTTCGGGGGTTCGGTTTTACCAATATATTACAATGTATCTCTAGTTATTGTGAAAAAAATGATTAGGGCCCCAGTATTCCCCACGTTTGCGGTTCACTATTCACAAATTCACCCATTGTTTTTTCTCTTTGTCACCTATCCCCAGTGATTTGCTAAAAATCTCACCAAGTGGCAGTTTTATGCTTTTTGCGAAACATCTGAAGGTAGGACAGTTGCACATTGGTGTCAAAGAAGTATGTTGAAGTGAACATCTCAAGTGGGAGACGAGCTTTATGTGCAGGAGACGAGCTAATTTTATAATTGGTGATTAGTTTAGATTATTATTACAGTGCATGTAAAAGAAAAAAAATCCAGCCATCTGTAATGCATTTATTTTTAAGGGTCATGTTGTAAGACGAGTTTGAATTGAAAAAAAAAAAAGGAATATGTCGACAAGTTCACATTCCTGACATGACTGGCTATTTTCCATGAAGTGAAAGTTGGCTCCCAAAGAGCCCCGAAATGAAGTGTGGGACGAATAGACGGGAGCGTCTAACATCTTTTGTCTGACCAACTAAAAGCAGCAACGCAGCATCAATGTCCCAACAGACCCTGTGGAGTCTATACACTGTATATATATCCAAATGTATACTGTATATACGGTATATTGAACAACTACCTTAAATGGTAACAAATGTAGTGTAAGCTGTGCCACATACTTTGCGTCTTTTGTGGAACCACTTGGTTTCACTGTATCTGCAGAGATGAGGCCGGGGAAAAAAAAGGAGGTTTATCAGACGGGAATTATGTGTTTTACTTTGATCATGGCAACAACACGCACACACCGTCAGCAACATTCTTGCACAGCGTTCACACCGATTTTGTGTGTGGGATAACGTTTATATAATGACATGTAAAGTGCTTGAAGAAGGGGTGTGGGGGGATTCTTTGGCAGGAGCTTTCATTGCCACCCACGGGGGGAGGCTTTCTCTTCTCTGCTCTCCTGCCAGACCTGCGTCTGCTGCCTCTCCGCCTCCGCCGTCCAAACATCCCAAACATCCGCACTGTCTTTATATGTTGCTGTGGCGGTTAGCTTCAAAAGGAAAAGATTCTTTTTTTTTTTTCTTTTTTTTTTTTGCATGTAGATTCTTGATAAGCTCAGCTCAGACCATCAATCAAATCACATGACTCACAAACTGGCTATTCCATTGCCCTTACTACTTTGTCATCTGCATGCACATCAGCCATACATGATGAAAACTATTAAAGGAGATGTATTAGGGATATTTTTTTCCAAAATGTAACAGTTCCCAGGTGTCTTAATATGTGACACACATTACACACTCTGTTTGTATAGCCTGGTGTGCTCCCGCACGGTGGTCCTATCTCATGCAAATGAGCCAACCCCTATCTAAATGAATTTTGAAAATATTTTTCCAAAAAGTCATTTTGAACAGTACAGTGAAACCTCGGTTTTCAAAAGTCTCTTCTCGACCAAATCGGTTTTCGACCAAAAATTTTGGGTTTTTTATGCCTCGGATTACGACCGAAATTCGGTTCTCGACCAAACTGAGCGCACTTGAATGCGCCACTTGACTTCTCTCGACTTCCTTACACGAGGAAGTGACGCTTCCTCGGGTTGACGAAGAAGTGACGCCTCCGTTGTGAGCAGACGTGTTCAATAAAGATTTTTTTTTAAAAAGAAAGAGCGTCCATTGTGAGCAGACTTGTTCAAAGATAAAAAAAAAGAGCGTCTATTGTGAGCAGACGTGTTCAAAGATTTTTTTTTAAAAAGAACGTCCATTGTGAGCAGATGTGTTCAAAGATTTAAAAAAAAAAAAAGAGCATCAATGTGACAGACATGTTCAAGAAAGATTTTTAAAAAAGCGGACGTGTTTTTTGAGATCGACACAAATTGGACTGTTATTTCTGCATGGCATCAAAGAAAGCAAGTGGAAGTAGTAAAGCTGCTGAAAAAAGAGGAAAATAGTGCACAAAACTTTTGAATTTAAGAAAGATTTGATGGTGAAATATGAATCAGGTGTGCATGTGTCTGTGTTGGCTCAGGAGTTCGGCATGCCAAAATAAAATAAGATAACCTTTATTTGTCCCACACTGGGGAAATGTGCAGTCTACAGCCGCAAAATGATAGTGGGGGGGGGGATAGTGTTTCATTGCACAAAATAAATGTTTCAGAAAAGAACTGTACACAGTTCAATATAAGTGCAATATAAAATAAAGCATTAGCAATATATTTGTAGAATAAATACAATAAATTAGCAACAGCATAGAAAACACAGCGTAAGGTGGCTGTGCTATTTACAATGGTTACAGGTTTTCACGTATGTTCATTCAGCAGTCTGACAGCAGTCGGTAGGAATGAGTGGCGGTATTTCTCCTTCTTGCAGCGCAGGTGTAACAGTCTCTGGCTGAAGGAGCTACCCAGTGCTGTCAGGGCAGGCTGGAAGGGGTGGGAGGGACTGTCCATCATAACTTTTAGTTTAGCAAGCATCCTCCTGTTGCCCACCTCCTGCAGAGTGTCCAGGGAGCAGCCCAGGACAGAACTGGCCCTCCTGACCAGTCGCATCAGCAGCATCCTAAAAAAGGAAGACCATCATAAAGTCCGTGATGTGGCTAAAGAATCTCGTGTGTTTAGTGAACAAAGGCCACAAATATGAGAGGAAGTGGAGAAACGTTTGCTTATTTTCATAAATGAGAAACAGCTAGCAGGGGACAGTCTTAGCCAAGATACGATTTGTGGCAAAACAAGACAATTGTATAGAGATTTGATAAAAAAAGGATCCTATCATTTTTCCTGAAGAGTTTGATTTTAAAGCAAGCAGAGAATGGTTCTAAAAGTTGAGGAAAAGAAGTGATTCATCATGGGGAGGCTGCCAGTTCAGAAAAGGAAGCTGCCAAAAAGTTTAAAGTTGAGTTTGAAAATCTCATCAAGGCCGAGGAATGTCTTCCCCAGCAAACTTTTAATATGGACGAGCCTGGACTTGTGTGGATAAAGCGGTTCAGAAAATGGATGGAGGGATGTTACC